TTTACCCTGTTTAAGCATTTTGCCTCTGAAAAAACTGAGGTGGCCTCCTCCATACTACACTCACAGAGGATGAGGAGACATCCTAATAGTGTTACCGGCAACTTTGTTAGGTACAACTGCTCATTAATGCCAAAGTCTTCTCAGCCAATCATATGGCAGCAACTTATTTAGGCATGCAAATATGGTCAAGACAACCCACTGAAGGGTGAATAAAGGTGATTTAAGCAACTTTGAATGTGGTACGATGGTTGGTCTGAATATTTCAGTAACTGCTGACTTACTGGGATTTCCACCACACAACCATCTCTAAAGTTTACAACAAACAAAATATCCGGTGAGAAGCAGTTCTCTGGGAGAAAATGTCTTGTTGACGTCAGAGCTCAGAGGACGATGACCAGACTGCTTCATACTGAAGGCAACAGTAACTCAAATAACCACTCGATACAACCAAGATATGCAGAAGAGCATCTTCTACACCAGGTGTGTCCAACTCCAGTCCTCGAGAGCTACTTTCCTGCAGCTTTTAGATGCATCCCGACTCCAACACAGTTTAATCAAAGAGTTGGATTATCACTTCAGCATGCCATCAAGTTTGGCAAAGGCCCAGTAATAAGCCATTCTGTCGGAACAAGGATGCATTTAACAGCTGCAGGACAGTAGCTCTCGAGGACTGGAGGTGGACACCCTGTTCTACAGCAACAGAAGACCGCATGGAGCACAGGAAACTGAGGATTCACACTGGCTCACCAAAACTGGATGGTAGATGATTGTAAAAAATCTGCCCAGTCTGATGATTTTCAATTTCTGCTGCAACATTTGGATGGTAGCGTCACAATTTGGTGCAAAACGCAGTAAAGCATCCTGCCTTCTATGAAGGGTTCAGGCTGCTAGTGGGGTAATGGTGTGGGGGATATTTTCTTGGCACACTTTGGGCCCCTTAATACAAACTGAGCATCGTTTAATCACCACAGTCTACCTGAGTGTTGTTGCTGACCCTTTATGGCCACAGTGTACCATGTTCTGATGGTACACCTCAAGGTGCTCATGTCACTTGAGCTACTTCACATGTACTGTGTACAAAAATACTGAAAAATGTGCAAGAATACACAATGTCTAATATCTAAGAAAGAAAAAAAAAGCCCAGAGCTGCATGACACCAGCCTATCATGGTCACACATGAAATCGCCTCATTATCTGGCTCGCATGCTTGTCATCAACTTGTGAGACCGTGCCAATCCATACGGTTCAATACTCTGTATTTGAAGTCACCAGAAACTGTTGTTGCGCCTATAAAATGCATGAAGACTCTGGTCATTCAGACTGTGCTGCAGGCTCAGACACCAGCAAGTCAAACAAGTAGAGCAGAGGGTTTTTCCATCCTCCAATCTCAGAGCAGATCAGTTCAAAGAGTGCTCCAATTATAAAGAAGCTTTAGGGCATGAGGGGGGCAGCCTCGGCGGATCAGTCCAACAGCTGAAGCACACAATTTGCACTTAAAGCTGGTGATGAAGGAGCCATTTACTTCTGCAGTTTGCCTCTCTCAATTTACATAAATGTCCTAGTGAAAGAGATGGGCGCTCTGATCTCACATGGCTGGATGTATTTCTGAAAGAAAACGAAAAAAAGCCCTGTTCAATCTGGACCTCGGGGTCGTACTCAAGGGCTCTTCAATGGCCCATAAAGAGTGTGACCTTCAGGTTAGAGGACGCTAAAGCTACCAAATGTATGAAATGTGCTAGAACGACACAGAATCAGGTTTCAAGGGGTTCGCAAAGGCTTTTATCAAACATCGAGCACTGCAGCGGCTCCTAAACTGGAGGTTACTACACTATTAATAATATAAAGACGACTGTGTCCTGTTTATAATTTATTACAGCTAAACTGTCAATGTCAAGGCTGGTTTGCATTGTTATAACTAAAAACCAAAGTAGAATCTGAATAATTCTGTCCTCTACCCGCTTATCTGGTGAATAATTTAACAATTTCTCTGAATCCGAATTCATCTTTTTATCCGCTAAGGCTTAAGCTAGTAAACTGGTGTCAGCGGTTTACAGCCGTTTCTGTCAGTTACTCAGACTACTTTTAGATATCCCAACCATTTAAGCACTCTGAGACACACTTTCACACACTGATCTAAAACCTTTAAAGTCTCCAGTCCCGTGGAAACTTGATTCAGCAGCTTGTGAAGCCTTCTTCAGCTGCCACATCTTCAAGTAATGTAGTAACAGCTCAAGGATGTTTTTTTCTTTTTTTAGCCATTTTGTTGCAGATTTGCTGCTAGGCCTGGGATAACTGGGATTCATTCACTAATATTTTAGTAGAAATGTTCTTATCTTTCACAAAAAAATACATCTGTACCCAAAATTACCATCAGATTAATTAAACGTGCACACCTACCTATTTTATTCTTACCACAGCTGTATATTTGTGAATCAGACTGAATCTGAACCCACAGGCTTGTGCATCCTGCATACCACCGTGCTCTCATTTCTCTAATTTAGGACAAATACATTCAATTCCAGGAGAAGCAGAGAAAATGGTGATGATGTTGCAAGGGAGAAGTCTGCACTGATAACGCAAGAATAACGCAGAAGTCATTTTGAATAAACAAAATGAGACATGAGATGATGTGAGGTAAGGAATATTGGAGTATCTTTAAATGAAAAGCCTGCAGCTTTACATTTAGTGTTTTGTTGTTTTTACATGCATTTAGCACAAAATTTCTAATTCACTAAAATTTCAGCCATCTATCGACAACTTTTAATTACCATTTCAAACAATAATCTTTTACGTTGAGCTTTTAAAATTATTTATCCAATCATTTTAAACAATTTCATACATTTTTATGCTACTTCTAAACCCAATTTCAGCCACTTACCCAATAATTTTAGCTAAAATGCTTATTCACGGCTTTAAACCACATTTTTAAGTTACTACAAATTTCTACAATATCAGCCATTTACCTACCTACCTATTACATTTAGCATCT